TTAAATTGGCGGGACCTGTTTTCGTCTCCTCTTCCCTAGCGGTTCCTTGTCTGTTGGGCACAGATTTTTTGGCTAAGATGCCCATTCAAATTCTCGTGGATCAACGTTTTATTGAGCTGCCATCGGGTCGCCGTATTTCATTTTTATCTAACCCTACTGAAATACGGACGGCGTGCGCTACGATCCAAGCGCTAGCGACACAGACGGTGCACGTGCCCCCGGGTTCACAGATGTCGATACCCCTCCGATTGCGGAAGCCATTGGGTGGGGAGGCTGCGGGACAAGGCGTGCTTTTGGGTCCATCAAATAGAGCTGTCGGGTTGTCGCCTCGTCCCGAATGTGCGTGCTTAATGGGGTCGGCGCGCTGTAAACCGCCAGGTGCTGTAACCAGGGGTGCGTTGGCCGCGACCGCGAATGCGCCGATGGGTGACGTTCCCGCTACCCCTGCGGGAGGGGACTCGCTACTCTCACTGTCTCTAATTGAGTGGGGCCGACTCCAAATGGCTGACAGCTCCCTGCTCGCGTTGCGTCGCAGGGCGGGGGGTCCCGAGGAGGGTCGGAAGCGAACTGGCTCCTGGCTGCTCAAGCAGGGCCTGCTAATGAGATGGGACAATATGTCCCGGCGGCACGCACTCGTTGTGCCTTCCGCTATGCGGGGCAAAGTTGTCCTGGCCGCACACGAATGCCTCTTGCATTTGGGGGTAAACAAAACGCTTGCCCTGCTTCAGCGTGACTATTATTGGCCGGGGATGGGGAGCGATGTGGTCAATATACTGAAGGGGTGTGTGGATTGCGCCGAGCGGAAACCACCGCCCGTTGCGTCAAATCCACCGCTGCAGTCTATTCAGGTCTCGCGCACTAACGAGCTCGTTGCACTGGATATTTTGGGGCCTTTTCCTGTCACGCCTAGGGGTAACAAGTACCTGTTGGTTGGTGTGGAATGCTTTACCCGATGGCCTATCGCGTGGCCACTCGCCAACCAGTCGGCGGCGGCCGTGGCGGACGCCTTTGTCCAGGGCTACGTCCTGGACAAGGGGGCTCCCGAACGCTTGCTGACCGACCAGGGAAAGAATTTTTCGAGTAAATTGCTGCAGGAGGTGTGCGACCTTTTGGGTACTAAAAAGGTGCGTACCTCCCCGTACCACCCACAGACTGACGGGATGGTGGAGCGACTCCACAGGACTTTAACTTCCATGTTGTGCCAGCAGGTGTGCGAGGCACAGGTTGACTGGGACTTGCAGGTCCCGGGGGTCCTCGCCGCGTATAGATTGGCCCCCCATGCAGCTACGGGGTTTTCCCCATTTTATCTGATGTACGGTTGGGAGGCCGATCCGCCCATGGAGACTCAGCTGGGACTTTCCGTGCCACGGCCTAATTCCAAATTGGCCGACCATATTAAATTTAACGTTGCAAAACTCGCCGAGGCACGGGAGGCCGCACGGTTTAATTCGAGGTCTCGGCAAATCGCCAACGAGCGCTTGCGTGCACGGAAGGTGTCCGTGCACGATTGGAAGCCGGGCGATAGGGCCTGGCTGCACTGCCCTCATGCACCTTTGGCTACGTCGCCTAAATTGTTGAGGCCATGGCGGGGACCCGTGGAGGTCGTGCGGGTTGCACGCCCCCAGTGTGTTCAGATAAAATGGGGAAAGCGCCGTTGGTACGTTCACTTCTCCCGGCTGAAACCGTTCTCGCCTCCACATGGCCTTCCTTTGTGTCGTGCGGACCGAGCATGTGATGTGACCGACGACCCGGGGAGGGAAATGTCTTTGCCTGATCCTCACATGGTTTCGCCTGATCCGCTCCCAGGTGTCTCGGAACTGACGGCTGCCGACCGCCGGCGACCGGATCCCCGCGACACGGCCGGTCCTTCCAGGCCCGAACCGTGCCTTCCGGGGCTGCCGGAGCCACCAGACGGTCGTCAGCGTCCCGTCCCGTACGATGGACCGGCCAGGCGGATTCGCGCTAGGTCGCGCAACTTTTCTTGACCAAATAAATGAGGTGGGGGTGCGGGACGACGCGGCCGGATCGTCTCGTCACTACGTTCCCCGTCCGTTCGACTGCTCTATCACCCCGGTCAAGGAGCGAGCGGAAGGGGGATCGGTAGTCAAGGAGACACTGGACACGTCTGTTTTTTTTCGGAATAACTTTTATTGTGTTGCGCGTCGGTTTGTACATAGGTTGTTGTGTTGTGTTGTGTCGTTGTGTTGCGTTGTTGTTGTGTTACGGGGCACACTTGGGGAGTGGGGTTTTTTTTTGTGTTGTTGTTGTCACGCGTAAATAATATTGTTGTTAAAATGTAAATACTGGTGCTTGGTTGCCTGCAGATCTGCTTGCCATTGTGCTTAAATGTACGCGTGTGATCGCGATATGCTGACTGCATGTGCTGTTACACTGTTCAGTACGGTTACGGGGTGCAATGCATTGGTTGACTATGGGGGTTGGGATTGTTATTAATTGTGCGTACCTGTTTGGAAATTGGTAAAAATTCGAGGGGGACCCAAAAATTTGGTTGTATGGGTGGTTATGCACACGAGATTGCGTGTATATTTATAGGTAATTGCGCTTTTTGAGAGAGAGAGCGCGCGATGAGGGTGCGCGATGACGCCGTTGTGGGTGGCTCAGATGTTAAGGGTGATGGGGCCGTAAATTGGCGCCAAGTGGCGTCGCTCATTCGGTTCATTGCAGGCAGCCAGAGGTTGCTTTGCGGGTTGGTGTGTGTGTAGGGGTTATTACGGGAGAAACGGCGGACAACAAACACAGGGCTGTCGGCACTCACATACACGGGTGGTCACACCGACGTCCGCATCAGTTATTGCCCACGCCCCCAGCCCTCGGAGGCGATCCCTATAAAAGGTGGAACCCAAAGAGCTCAAGTTCAGTTCGACACGAAGCTGACCAGTGAAGATCCAAGACTCGGAGATTAGGCCCTGGGACTCCCCGGTCTCGCCGTCCTTATAAGGGCCGAGCCGGGTAAGCCAGTGGCGCGGCCCAAGAGCTTCCAGACCGCTGCCCTTATCAGGGCGAGGCTGGTTAGCTGGTGCCGAGATCTGTGCTTGCCAGGGCCAGATCAGTCAGCCTCCCGTAGCCCAGTAGAGGAGGACTGGGGGGACAGGACAGAGGGCTTAGTACTAGGGTGGGTTTCCCATAGTACGGGTGAAGGGGCCGATACCCCTTCAACTATTGTACCTGTCCCGAAGTTAATAAACAGAGTGTGCCTCAACTTCGACATCGTCTCCTCCTCTACTTACTACATGTGTAAGCAATGTGTTTTGGTAAAATATCGGTTAAAATTTCCCCCATATGACTGCTGTGCGCGGCAAGCTGGGGCTGTGCGTCTATCGTTGGTGGGGTTGTTACAACGTGCGTCTTGTGACCCCCAGCAAAGGGCAGCTGGGGTGCATGCACGGGGAAAACTGGCGACGTGTTCACACGTGGGCCGCCATTTTGCGCGCACGCGGGGTATGGCGACGAGGCGCTTTGCGCAAGGGGACGCCATTTTGAGTGCGCGCGTGATATGGCGAGAACACGCTGGGCGAAGGGGGCCGCCATTTTGAGCGCGCGGGAAAAACCTCGGTGGGGCAAATATTCCATCTGTTTATGCCTGCCATTGTTGATTGGGTGATGCACGAGTTGTGGTCACATCGGCCTATGGCTGATGTCTGACCTGACAGCCCGGAGGCGAAACTTCCGTGGTATGTCTCAAACTGATGGGCCGTGTGCTCATATGGCTCGGGGAGTCATGGTTCAGTTGTGCGGTGGCAGACCGAACCTGGTGTGCCGGGGGCTCACGGGATTTGTAGTAGAGGTTTTGTTACGTGCCAGCGAACGGGGTGACCTGGCTAGCATGGAGCAGGGATTCTCTATGCGGGTCCTCCAGCGGGAAGGGCCGTGGACTTGTTTCGCTCTGGGTTAGGGCGAGTTAAACGTTACCGCTGGGGAGCATGGCTCTCTCCACGCGAGGGTGTGCGACTGGGGGTTTTGTTGAGAGTGACCGTGGGTACATGCTGTGTACGTGCGATGTCTGTGCTGGTCCTCAAGGGAGGACTGCTGGTGGCCAAGAGCAGGATTTTTTTTTTTTTGCTGTTGTTGTTGTTTAGCAGCCGGGCCGGCTGCGAGCTATGTGGGAGGGGGTGATGTAGTGGTGATACGCGCGCTGACAGCGAAGGGATCGTGTGGCAGCGCGTGGTGATTGGTCAACTAAGGTGGGTGCTCACGTCGCGGTCCGCATAGGCTCCGTCTCCTGGGAGCGGAGGCTATATAAGGCGGTGCGCGCAGGCGCGCGGGGAGTTGATGACCAGTGAAGACAGAAGACAGAGGAGGAAGAGATAGGGCCCTGAGACACCTAGTCCCGCTGTCCTTGTGAGGACCGGGGCCCTGTGTGGCTCAGAGGCGGGACCTTGGGACCCGGGGGCCGGACGTCCGTGTGAGGGCCGGGCCGCGGGACCCAGAGGTCGTGACCCACGCCCAAGCTGGGGTGGGTCTGTAGGTTCCACGGATGCTACGGGGCTGGAGTGCCCGTGAGCGTGTAGCGGGAACGTGTAGTGTGAGCTGTAGTGACCACACGTGTCGAGTGGAACGTGTAGCGTGAGCTGTCGTGACCACACGTGTCGAGTGCAACGTGTAGCGTGAGCTGTCGTGACCACACGTGTCGAGTGGAACGTGTAGCGTGAGCTAGTCGTGACCACACGTGTCGAGTGCAACGTGTAGCGTGAGCTGTCGTGACCACACGTGTCGAGTGGAACGTGTAGCGTGAGCTGTAGTGACCACACGTGTCGAGTGGAACGTGTAGCGTGAGCTGTAGTGACCACACGTGTCGAGTGGAACGTTTAGCGTGAGAAATAGTGACCACACGTGTTATTGTGGAAAGACAAGTGTCAATAAAGTGTGCTACCCGTCAAGTGGTTTCCCGCCGTAGTTTACTATACTTCACATAGACTCAACACTACCCATAGACTCAACACGCCGTCATCCGCCCAACCCCCCCCCCCCCCCCGGCACAGATTTCACAATCTTCTCGAACGAGGATCTCGTACCGTGACGCGCGACGCTTCGTGGCGGACGTGGGCACCGGCTACGAGAGCCGCATCGACACTCAGCGCAGCGACTCCGCGCTGGCGCTGAGCGCGACGGTGGCCGCTGACGAGCGCGACTTCGTCTGCCAGGCGCTGGCGGGGCGCGCCGGCGTGGCCGAGGCCACCGCTAGCGTGCGGGTGTTTTGTAAGCGAGCGCACGGGGCCACTTGCTACTCCCCTACTTACGGACGTTACAGCAGAGACTCCCCTACTTATGGATGTTGGGACAGAAACTATACACTACACTATACTCTACTATACACTACACTATACACTACACTATACACTACTATACACAACACTATACACTACTATACACTATTTTTAGGTTTTTTCGGTAAAGTCACGTAGGTAAAACACCAAAATCAATAAAAGTAAAATAAAACAAAAATCACGACGTTTCGGAGGCAACAGAAGTCTCCGCCATCAGGTGGGACCGTCACAGCCAGATTTGCTGCATCAAGTGAGGCAATGATTCAAGATGTAATCCCTTAAAAGCAAGTTGAGGGGGGAGGAGAGGGGGTGGGGAGCTCATCAGAATGTGGTAGCCAATGAATGGAACGTATCGGGAGGGAGGGGGGGGGGGCTCAAAGAAGGCACGGAGTGCTACGTAGAACGTATCGTCGTCCATCCTTTTGGCCCCGCCCCCCCCCCCCTCCCGAGGCGTTCTACGTAGCACTCCGTGACTTCTTTGAGCCGCCCCCCTCCCTCCCGATACGTTCCATTCATTGGCTACCACATTCTGATGAGCTCCCCCCCCCTCTCCTCCCCCCTCAACTTGCATTTAAGGGATTACATCTTGAATCATTGCCTCACTTGATGCAGCTGATCTGGCTGTGACGGTCCCACCTGATGACGGAGACTTGTGTTGCCTCCGAAACGTCGTGATTTTTGTTTTATTTAACTTTTATTGATTTTGGTGTTTTACCTACGTGACTTTACCGAAAAAACCTAAGAATATGAATCCTTGCAGTCACGAAAGCTTCAAATCTAGAATACTATACACTACACTATACACTACTATACACTACTATACACTACACTACTATACACTACACTATACACTACTATACACTACACTATACACTACTATACACTACACTATACACTACACTATACACTACACTATACACCACTATACACTACACTATACACTACTACACTACACTATACACTACACTACTATACACTACACTATACACTACACTATACACTACACTACTATACACTACACTATACACTACACTACTACACTATACACACTATACACTACACTATACACACTATAGATTATACACACTATACACACTATACACTACACACTACACTATACACTAATATACACTACACTACACTATACACACTATACATTATACACACTATACACTACACTACACACTACTACACGACGTTTCGGAGTCAAGTTGGACTCGCAAGCAAATGGCCGATGACGACCCCGCGACCTTTGACGCACGGAGCGCCCCCTCCCCCCGTGTCCCTCCCCCCCTCCCCCCGTGTCCCTCCCCCCCTCCCCCCTCCCCTCGTCTCCCTCCCAGCGGCCCCCACGGTGGCCGTGGTGGCGACCCAGATGCCCGTGATGCTCACCCAGCAGCAGCAGCAGCGCCACCACAAGGTGAGCAGCCCTCCGCCTACGGGGACTTTCGCTATTTCACATTCCTGCTTGTTTCTCCGCTCCCTGCTGCTGCCCGTGGGTTTTGTTGCTTTAACCGCGTC